AATTTGCTTTTAATTTCCACAAGTTTATAAATAAATATGGTTGTAATAAGCCTATATTATTATTAAAACTTTATTTTTTGTTTGCATGCATGTTAAACTTTATTGTTTTGTTTTTTTCTTTTTTCTTTTAATTTTTTTTTATTCAAGTTGGTTTTTTTTTTCTATCCATTATTGTTTTTTTCTTTTCAATAACCACTCTGAGTTGTTTTTTCTCTTGTGAATATTTTTAACTGTTAGAATCTCTTTTTTTCTTTTTCATTGTTGAATGGATAAGACGGACCAACCAACGCATATTAGACTAGCAATTATTTAATTTGGAGTATGGTCGGCTGACTAGGAGAACCACCCTCCCAACTCATAGTGTGTGAAATGACCTTCATTATGTTCTTACATACTTCTTTTTTTATGGATATTATCATTTTTATTTTTTCCCTTGAGTATTTAAATTTAACGTTAACCTGTGAAAAAAAAGGGAAAAAAAATGCATCTTGTGAGTATTATTTACTAAATCGGGTGATTATTCGGTAGTTCGAAAGTACGATCACGTAATACTTCATGGTAATATGATTGGTGGATAAAGTAAAATATTAATTATTTATGTTACGTAATTGAGAAATATAAAAGGACAAAATGAATGATAATTTACAAAAGAATGTGACGAATACTCTAAAATTATTATATAATTTTCCTACTAAACCATATAGCACATAAGTTGCTTCATAGTTTCTCTCGTTTAAAAAACTCTCTCTCTAAAAAACCTCCATCTCGGGCCTCACCGTTGGCCAGCTGGCCGCCACCTTTGGCCATGGCGATTGGCTGGCCTAGCTTTCTCTCTTTGTGTTGTTGTTTTTTCTCCTAATAATCTTGGGCCCCCATTTGTTTTCCGTTTCCTCCTTTTCAGATCAAATCTCTAGATTTGCTTAGGGTGCTGTTTTAATCCTTTCATTTTTGTTTAGGATGTTTGTGTTCACAGGTATTCTTTGGGGTTTTTAGCTGAATATTCCTCGGGTGGTTTTAGATCTATCTTATCCGACGGTTTGAAAGCTTGGTGGGTCTTTACTTTGTGGGTTTTGGTGTTTTTGGAAGCTTTGATGGGTGGTTTTGGTGGGCTCTTTTCTGGAATGAAGAGGTTCGGTGGTAGTGGTGCTTCGACCATGGTGTTTAGTTTCGGCCATGGGATTCGATTTAGGGTGGTTGCGTTGACCAGGGGTGGGTTGGTTCAGGAACTTCATTCGAGCACTTCTCTGCGAGAGGGAGTTTGAGGGGTGGAGGATCCAGAGTTGTTTAGGATCTTCATTTGAGTGCTCCGTGCGAGCGGGAGTTTGAGAGGTATTCTTTGTGGTTTTTAGCTGAATATTCCTTGGGTGGTTTTAGATCTATCTTATCCGGCGGTTTGAAAGCTTGGTGGGTCTTTACTTTGTGGGTTTTGGTGTTTTTGGAAGCTTTGATGGGTGGTTTTGGTGGGCTCTTTTCTGGAATGAAGAGGTTCGGTGGTAGTGGTGCTTCGACCATGGTGTTTAGTTTCGGCCATGGGATTCGATTTAGGGTGGTTGCGTTGACCAGGGGTGGGTTGGTTCAGGAACTTCATTCGAGCACTTCTCTGCGAGAGGGAGTTTGAGGGGTGGAGGATCCAGAGTTGTTTAGGATCTTCATTTGAGTGCTCCGTGCGAGCGGGAGTTTGAGGGGTGAATTCCGTTCAATCCTATGGTGGTCGGTGTTTGTGTTCGGTTAAGCAAGAAAAGAAGAGTGAAGCAAGAAGAGGCTGTCAATGTTCAGAGGCGAAGCTAAGTAGTTTCGGTCTCGGGTGGTTCTCGATGGTGAAGCAAGAAGAGGCTGTCGATGTTGCAAGGCGACTGCAATGGAGGGAGTTGTTTGGGTCTCGGAGAAGAGGAGAGTGAAGCAAGAAGAGGAGAGTGCATGGTGCAAGAAGTGTCGATGTTCAGAGGTGAAGCAAAAGAGGTTCGGTCACGGGTGGTTGTTGACGGCAATGGAGCCTGAGTGTCCGGCAAGTATGGAGGTTGAGTGTCCGTCAATGGTGCAGGGTGTTCGAGTCAGGCCTGGGGCTTAAGAGTGTATCAGTGTTTGAGTCAGACGTGGGGTGTTTCAAGAGTGTATTAGTGTAGCAGTGTGTAGCTGTGTTTTAGGTGGGAGCTCAAGTGTGTGGTTTATTTTATTATTATTATTATTATTTTATTTTTTTGTTGTATTTTAAAATTTAAAATCGTGAGGCTTAGGGGTTGGTTGTAAGAACGCGAGTAACAGTAGTAGGAGAGTGAGTATTTACTCTTCGAATCTCTCTCATTGCGTTTTATTTCTTTGTACCAGTAAATTTCATATTTTTAATAGAATTTGTCTTTGCTCATAAAAAAAAAAAAAAAAAAAAAAACACATAAGTTGCTTCATTCTTATATAACTTTATCGGGTACTAATTAGCATGCTTTCCATAGGGTCCTTTCACTGGTGTTCAAAAACTATTGAATACCTGTGTTTCACAAAAATCATCTATCTTCATAACTTGGTTTTAATAATTAGTAATCAATGGTTAGATTTATTTCACTTTCAAATCCAATGGCCAATTATCATTTATTTATGATGGGAAATATTATGACTTGTTACATATTTTTGTAATGTGTTTATATTTTTATGGTAAATATTACATATTTTTTTTATAAGAATTATAACAATTTGTAATTAAACAAATGAAATTATTTATTTTGTGACAGTGTTATGTATTTTTATAATAATATTATACATCTTTTTATTCTAACATTTTTTAATTACAAAATGTATAATAATACAACGAAATATATAATATTATCACAAAATTACATAATTTTATTTCTTAATTACAAATTGTCATAATTCCTATTAAAAAATATGTAATATTTACCATAAAAATACATAACACATTATAAAAATATGTAATAAAATACGCAGGGTACACACCTTGAAAAGGTGTGGACCAAAATGTTTCCCATTTATGATACATCAAAACAATTAGTTTTGTATCATAGATAAAGCCGACAGCTGCATATCACATGCAAATAAACGTGTTAAAATTGAGATATTATTGATTGATGAGTTTATGATTGATAGATACAAGATTGGTGTATTGATGTGTAAATTACAGATGGTGAGGTACTAATTATATAGGAGAGGATTGGGGAGTAGGTGAGTGTGTGTGGTAGGTGAGGAGAAAGATAGTGGAGGTGGTAGGTGTGGAGAAATTCTAACAGTGGAGAGGATAGCCTACTATACGTCTTCATCTTCATCTCCCTCTTGGTCTTGGTCGTCGTGGTCTTCCTCCATTAATATGCACACTGTGAATCAAAATGACAAAAGACTTGCATTTTAAAGATAAAAAATATAATTAATCCAAAACTATATATATATATAAACATTATTGAATAAGCTAAATCAATCCAACAATATAAAATATACGGTTCCGATTCGTAACTCGAATTTTCCGTGGCTCGAGTGGCTCAAAATCTCAAAACGACGTCGTTTTAAGATGTTTTTTGATTCTCTTACCGGTAAGATAATATTTTCCGTACCATTCGAGCCTCACTTTCTCGAGCTACGGAGCATTTTCCTAAAATATATTTATGAATCACAATCATTTTAAGTGTGATAAATATCTCATCAATTTTAAATTTACACTATTTACCTCACTTTTAAAATAAAATTCATAGCACAATTTCATTATACATCATATTTTTCAAGTCAATCACATTAGTCTTCTCCTAATTGTATATCAAAAATTTCATCAATCATGAAAATTTATCTGGAAAGTGCATGTATTATGTAAATTTAAAATTAGTAAGACGTGAGTCATTAAAAATTGATTACTTTTTCATCAATAATTTTTTGGAGAAATTATTCAATCATTTGTTCATGTAATTTAAGCAAAGTGTCACTTTAATCTTAGTAGTTTTAATTTGAACAATTTGGTCATTATACTTTTAATTTTATTGCACTGTGAACCATCCGTCATATGTTTTTAACATTTTGAATTGAAAAAAATTAAGGTAAATTACACTGACACACCCTAAGATTTTTATTTAATACAGATCTCCCATCACATTTAAAAAATTACATTATTTGTAATCCCATTACAAATTGTCTTTGGATTGTTGATGTCATGACTTAAAATTTTCTAAATAACTATCTTGCCCCTTTGCCTACCATTTGTTCTTCCTATCATCATGATTATATTCTATAACATTACCTAATTAAATTCTACCTGAACATATTCTTATTGAGTGATGATATACAAATATAAATTTTATATAGAATTTTCAAATAAAGTGATATAACCTAATTATGACCTTTCATTTTAAAACAAAATAGTCATAAATATAATTTATATTTACAATAATATCACTATCACAATATTTTTATGATATTTTTTGTATAAAATTTTATATATGAATATAATTTTTCATTTTTATTTCCATCATTATATCTAGACTAGATCAATTTAATCTATATATATTTAAAAGGTGTAAAATTTGTACAAAAAATTTATAAAAAAAATAAAAATCATTGAATACAACAAAATAAGATAATGTATTGAATTTTTAAATTTTTGTATTTCTTTTTATTTGATGGATTTAGAAAAAATAAAAAATATTATACTCCTCAAGTACATTTAGATTAGGCGTATTTAAAAAAATAAAAAAAAAATAGTTAAAATATTAAAAAAAAATCAAAGAAAAAAATTAAAAAAAACATAAAAAAATATATATATATATTAAAAGAAAAGAAAATGGTGAAATCGTGGGTGGAAGAAAGTAAGGGAAAGTGTGATGATAGTGGTGAGTGGAGGATTGATTTAAAAAATGAAAAAAAGAGGACATGATGATGAGGATAAAAGGAATAAAACAAAAAAGTGGAGGTTAAGATATTATAATGGATTGGTGTGATAGGAGAGAGAGAGAGAGACCAAGACCAAGGGGACAAACTCAGTGGCTTTAGAAGAAAAAGAAAAAGAGGTATGAATTGGGGCAAAAGTTGGCTGCTTCGGGGTCTGTACAGTTTGTGGTGGCCATCTGGGTTTGAGAAAGCATAGTGAAAAAGCAAGCGGAAGATGGACGGTTCAAACATTTTTTAAGGAAAGAGAGTTGAGTGGAGATATCATAGCAAAAGTTTCTGATATATTTTGGCTGAGGAAGGTTATTAGACTTGATGATGCTGAGGACAATATCACTCAACAATCTAAGGAGACCTTGGGAGATGAAGACGAGGGTGGATTTCTCAAACTGACAAGGACCCGTGAATGGATAGCAGGCGATAACTCTGCACCTGTCAATAAGAAGATGATCGCCAAGCAATTGCAGAATGACAGTGAGAAAAGGAAAATAATGAACCTTCTGAGCTATGAAGCTCTCAAGAGGGAAATGATGCTTTTAACTGTGGGTATCGGAATTGTATGCAGTGGATACTGTTTAGTAACTTTATCTGTACAGGCTGCTGTGAGTTATGCAGCGGGAGTTCTTTTCAGTTGCTTATACCTTCAGCTCTTATACAAACAAGTGGACAACCTTTCCCGGGAAACAGTTCCACAGATTTTCAGGCAAAAGAAGTCAAAGGAAGTATCTGGGCCATTGGTGATGCGTCCTAATCATGGAGATGAATATACAGTGCTTGAGCTAAACCCAATGGAGTGGACATTTGACAACTGTCCAAAGATTCTTGTACCTGTTGCTGATGGCACTGAGGAAATGGAAGATGAAACACCGGTGGATGAAGAAGCCATGGTCGAAATACAGAGAGAGAGATGGAGAGACCATGGGCTAGCACAGTGACTGAGATAGAGGAAGCTAGGGTATGTGTAGAGGTCCGGCGGGCGGCCAAGGCGAGGCTGCCGCCCGCCGGTGAAGCAGAATGACCAGGTTCTTAACCTTGCTCTGATACCATGTTAAAATTGAGATATTATTGATTGATGAGTTTATGATTGATAGATACAAGATTGGTGTATTGATGTGTAAATTACAGATGGTGAGGTACTAATTATATAGGAGAGGATTGGGGAGTAGGTGAGTGTGTGTGGTAGGTGAGGAGAAAGATAGTGGAGGTGGTAGGTGTGGAGAAATTCTAACAGTGGAGAGGATAGCCTACTATACGTCTTCATCTTCATCTCCCTCTTGGTCTTGGTCGTCGTGGTCTTCCTCCATTAATATGCACACTGTGAATCAAAATGACAAAAGACTTGCATTTTAAAGATAAAAAATATAATTAATCCAAAACTATATATATATAAACATTATTGAATAAGCTAAATCAATCCAACAATATAAAATATACGGTTCCGATTCGTAACTCGAATTTTCCGTGGCTCGAGTGGCTCAAAATCTCAAAACGACGTCGTTTTAAGATGTTTTTTGATTCTCTTACCGGTAAGATAATATTTTCCGTACCATTCGAGCCTCACTTTCTCGAGCTACGGAGCATTTTCCTAAAATATATTTATGAATCACAATCATTTTAAGTGTGATAAATATCTCATCAATTTTAAATTTACACTATTTACCTCACTTTTAAAATAAAATTCATAGCACAATTTCATTATACATCATATTTTTCAAGTCAATCACATTAGTCTTCTCCTAATTGTATATCAAAAATTTCATCAATCATGAAAATTTATCTGGAAAGTGCATGTATTATGTAAATTTAAAATTAGTAAGACGTGAGTCATTAAAAATTGATTACTTTTTCATCAATAATTTTTTGGAGAAATTATTCAATCATTTGTTCATGTAATTTAAGCAAAGTGTCACTTTAATCTTAGTAGTTTTAATTTGAACAATTTGGTCATTATACTTTTAATTTTATTGCACTGTGAACCATCCGTCATATGTTTTTAACATTTTGAATTGAAAAAAATTAAGGTAAATTACACTGACACACCCTAAGATTTTTATTTAATACAGATCTCCCATCACATTTAAAAAATTACATTATTTGTAATCCCATTACAAATTGTCTTTGGATTGTTGATGTCATGACTTAAAATTTTCTAAATGACTATCTTGCCCCTTTGCCTACCATTTGTTCTTCCTATCATCATGATTATATTCTATAACATTACCTAATTAAATTCTACCTGAACATATTCTTATTGAGTGATGATATACAAATATAAATTTTATATAGAATTTTCAAATAAAGTGATATAACCTAATTATGACCTTTCATTTTAAAACAAAATAGTCATAAATATAATTTATATTTACAATAATATCACTATCACAATATTTTTATGATATTTTTTGTATAAAATTTTATATATGAATATAATTTTTCATTTTTATTTCCATCATTATATCTAGACTAGATCAATTTAATCTATATATATTTAAAAGGTGTAAAATTTGTACAAAAAATTTATAAAAAAAATAAAAATCATTGAATACAACAAAATAAGATAATGTATTGAATTTTTAAATTTTTGTATTTCTTTTTATTTGATGGATTTAGAAAAAATAAAAAATATTATACTCCTCAAGTACATTTAGATTAGGCGTATTTAAAAAAATAAAAAAAAAATAGTTAAAATATTAAAAAAAAATCAAAGAAAAAAATTAAAAAAAACATAAAAAATTAAAAAAAATTAATTTTTTTGTATGAGTTAAACCAAAGAAACTAATTGTTATTTCCTTCAAAATGACATGAACAAAATATTTGTATTATTTTATATGTATAAAGGCTAAGGAACAAATATGTCATTTTAATCTAATAGGGAATAAGTGTAATTTTTCAAATGTGAGGAGAAGGATCTGTATTAAAGAAAAACCTCAAGGGGTGTCAATGTAATTTATCCAAAAAAAATTATGTGTAAAATTAAAAGAACCAAAGTAAAATTCAAAAGAGAGTGTGGATATTAAATTTTTTCAAAACATATATATATATATATATATATTCTGTTTTAAATGTTAATAACACATGACTTAAAGATCATATTATAACAAAAGTAAAATATAAGGATTAAAATTTTCAAATTGAAACTACAAAATGCTTAAACTAGATGGGCTAATGATCTATTTTACCCTAAATCTTTAAAAAAAAAATTATTTTTTTTAGATTACTACTGTTGCTACTTATATATTGACAACCAACTTCTTCATCATCAGCGTCCTCCTCGTCGTGGTCTTGGTCATCCTCCATTGACACAAAGATGATTGGGATGTGTTTAGTTTGAAAATTTAATGAGGAAAATGAAAATGGAAAGCGAAATAAAAAGAAAAGAAAAAAGAATTGATTCTAGATTATGTTTAGTTGAGTAAAAAAAAAAGAAAAGTGAAAGAATCTAATTGAAACCTGTGAGACCAGGAATATCCTCTCACATGTGAGACTAGAAAAATTCTCTCACATGGATTGCTGAGAACTAACGAAGAGATGAGCTTTATCTCTGTAGATCTGGAAAGATGAACATAATCGGCACCACCCAACTGGGATTGCCGGCCGGAGACACTCCAATAATAAAGTTAGCCAAAATAGATCAAAGAGAGAAGATCAAGGTTTAGAGAGTGTATGTACTCAGTGACAGGGAAAATGAGACATACCTCTTGTGTATGGGGTCCCCTCCTTTTATAGAGGATGAATCATCTTTGTTTAGGATATTTTACTCCTATAGCTAGGATATTTTTCTGGCTCCCACAATAGTCCCAAAACTTTCGCTTTCTTTCACACAAAAAATGAAAGTTTTTTGTTCTAAGTTTGTGGCATAAACAAATGCTACTTTCGGATCACATTGCCAAGTGATGTTGCTTGAATAAATATTAGAAAAAGCATTGTCAATACATTTACAAGGGAACAAAACAAATGAACAAATGCACGTATAAATGCGTGTATGAATGTATGTACGTGTGAATGTATGTAAACAAATCATATCATAAGCAATTTCATGAATTCTACATCGGAGATCTTTGTAACGATGGGTTACGGTATTATAACCCCCAGGCAAGGGTGTAGGCCGTGCTATAATAACCCCCGTGTGAGAGTGTAAGCCACGGTATTATAACCCCTAGACGAGGGTATAAGCCGCGGTATTATAACCCCCGAGCGAGGGTGTAGTGTTGTCACACCTCAAAATTTAGACAATTAAATATTAAATTAGAACTAAACCTCAATCAATATTCCATCATCCAAATCCTAGGAAAAAAAAAAAAAAAAAAAAAACTAAACGTTCTCGCCCCCATAAGGTTTAAATAAATACCAATGCTCAAAAAAAGAAAAAAAATACAAGGAATAAAAAATTAACAAATGCCAACCAAACTATCTATCATAAATTCATAACTATCCAATACCTCAAACATTAAAGTAACAATAACTAGTCAAAACAACTTAGATAATGTAAAGTTACAAACCATGCCAAATTATCAAAATACTAAGGTTATAAAAAAAATATTAAATACATAAACTAATTTCAATCCTAAGCTCAATAAAACAAAAGAAGTCCAAACGACATGTCCAACAACTATAGTTATTCCACGTCACCACCGTAACCCCAACTAATGCTGCAAAGGAAGCTCGGCTGTGCTCAAACAGAATACACCCGAGTTACTAAGAGACAAAACGGGTCAGTATATAGGTATACTGGTATGAGTACAAGATTTAACACCCACGCATCCACTAGATACAAACAAAGATACATTTAATTCTTGTTACAAGACAAGACAAGTAGTTCCATCTGCATAGAGACGAATGGGTAGTTTTCTGAAATACGGTGGCATTTAGTTTCTTACCCGTACACAACGAAATATAAAATAAGTATAAAATAAACAAAATAAAAATAAAAATATGGTGAGTCAGCCTGGCATAAAAAGTTAGTAAGGCCTACCATCCTGCAAAAAAATAAAGTTAGTATAATTTAATCATAAGTAACTTGCTGAAGAAGTATAAAAAGGCATCATTTCATGCTTAAATAATTCGAATTGACCAAAACTCAAAGAACAAAAGTTGTACAGAATTAAATTTCCTAAAAGACATAGCGAACAAATTTAGTAGAAACTGAACAAGTTGAAAGAAAAATTTGACAGAAGAACCTAGATAGAATTTAACAGAAAAATCTGAACCTGAAAATGAACAGAAAGTTCACAACACAAAAAGTGTGCAGAATAATTTTTTACTTCAATTGACGCAAAATCAAGAAAAATGAACTCGTTTCGTGGGTTAAAACAACATCTAAAGTCTGCCCTGCTAAAATGAATAAAAACTATTGTAACTAAGATTATCCGATTACAAGTTCTGATCGATTTTTTTAATAAAAAGTTAAAACACAAAAGTTGTCTAGAATCACATATACATGCCTATTCTCAAATTTCATAATTTATCGAGGTCGTTTACTATTTTTCAATATGTACAAATCAATATAATTCACACTATACCAATAAACTCATAAATAAATTATTTGTATCTTAACTCCGCTACTTCGCCCTCTACTTCCGGCCTACACATATATCCCATGTGCCTCCCGTATATCTAACATCGCTCCGAAGCCAAACTTGCACGGGGATATCATCCCGAGTTTGACCCACACTCTCCGAATGGTTAGTATATACGTACGCGCCTAAATCAAAACACTCGTATACTCTTGAGAATGAGTCAACAATATACATATACAAAACATCTCACTCATGAGAACAAACAAAACAATGCCAAGCCTAAGGCATTCATATAAATCTCATAATCCTCACCTTTTTTATACACTCATCACCACGACTCAAATAAAACAACAATCCATAGAGTCATGGTAGAGTATAAGGAATTTATCTATGGGGTTTAAGTTTATTTTAATTTCATATATCCATGAGTGTGATTGCAACCATAAAATAAATCCATATAAAAACCCTACACCTTGCATACACAACTAATCAAAATAATTAAAATCAAACAATCATCTAAATACCCTAAACCTTACATATACAACTAATCAAAATAATTAAAATCAATCAATCATCTACATGCAAATATGAAATCAATTCAACATCAAATAAATATAAATAAATAAATAAAAACAAAGAATTAAACATAAATCAACGAAGTGGGTTTTGTACTCACAAATTTTTTTTTTTTTTTAAGATCAAATAATCACTTAAACAAT